TGGTCGGGCGGCCGCGGGGGCTGCACCGGCCTTTTGAGGCCGGGCCCGGCTCGTCCCCTCCTCTGAGTCGACTACGGGTTGCCCTGCTCTGCGCGGCAGGCGGGTCCTGCGAGACGCAGAGCTCGCCCTCGCCTAAAGGGACCCCCCGTTACAATGTAACAAGCAGGGATACCTCCCAGAACCCCAGGCCCATTTCTGCCACGTTTACAAGCCCGTTTTGGTACTCGCCAACAGTGCACACAAGCACAGGCATGATCATAGTGGGGACCAGGGGTGACGCGTACGGGGTGCCGCTCGCCACCCTGCCGCCAACACCACCAGCGATGTCTGCAGGCGGTCCGTGATCTCCATGGGCCGCCGCCAATGCTCCCAGCGGCGCCTGCGGGTGGTCACCGACCCTTGGTCAACGCTTGTCACTGCCACCGACAGCGCCGGTGGCACCTGTGGGAGCTCCCCCACTTGCCGCCACCGCCGCCCCGTTCCTGCAGCCGCCGTGCCCCGCCAGCCGCCAGGGCCACGCACCGTTCGTGGTGGGGATGGCAACTACAGAAACACGTGGCAGACAAGGAGCACGGTTCTTGGGGAAACTCCATATATCTGGGTCCAAGAAGGCAGTTTTCCTTACATGTTCCCAGAGATCACTGCTCTTCTGGCGTGGTTTAGTATCTGCCAAGGTGTCGGGGTTAAAGCCCATTTACGGAAACGGAAGGCTCCCCGCTAGCTGGCTCCTGCGGCCCTTTGGCTGAGGGCAGGCGACACTTGGGGGCATCCAAACCCCAAGCCTCCTGGCTTGGGCCTGCACGTAGGATGCTGGACAAAAGACTTTGGAAATATCTGAAGCCCCTGGTGGGGGTGGAGGATGTTTGCCAGTGCTACGGCCACTTATGGTTCTGGACTGATTCACGGATTTGGACTTGATTTGGCTTCGAACACAAAAAATTATTTTAAAAAAAAATCCACACAGCAGACTATATTTTGGTGTGCATCACTCCCGCAGTGCACCACACAAAGCAGCTGACTGTGGGCTTCCACCACACCGATCACATAAGAGTGATTTACCTCGCATATAACCAATTTTTGGTATAAAAACAGTCATAGCATAAGAGCAAATTTGCACATACAAAACCCTCATAAGGCGAGGGAAACCTGTATCTGCTATTGCAGGGGCCTTGGATATTACCAGTGCTTTGGTTGCTATTGGTCTTTGTGTGCGTCTACATGTTCATTAATACACTGTAGTTACAGGGGTGTAGGCTGTAGCCGTGTTGGTCTAAGGACATAGGCAGACAAGGTTCCTTGGGTGAATCTGATATCTTTTATTAGACCAACCCAAATGGTTGGAGAATAGTTATTAAGCAAGCTTTCAGGCTCAAAAACCCTTTGTCAGGCTAAGGAAGTTTCAGCAGTTGGTGTGTGCTCTTTCTGGATGGAGTAAAAGATATCAGATTCACCCAAGGAACCTTGTCTGCCTGTAGTTACAGTGCATTCAGTTTGATACTTGGTTAACCAAGTATTCAATCAATGCACAGTAACTTGCCCTACAGCACAGTAGTGACAGGTTTTTAGTGACGCTTACTGCGCAATAGCTTAATGCTACTGCACCTCTCTTGCCTGGCACGCTACTGTCCAATGTTATTAGGCTACGGTGCAGTTAGCGTCTCTTGTAGACGCACCCTCTGAGGTATAGAGTTTGGCTTCCTGAAAACTGTAATGCTTTGGTCTCAGTGTGATGGTATCCAAGTGATGGCCTCAGCTGGTCCTTTTTGTATACAAACTACATGCTTGCTTTGTCTACTGCTCACTGATTCATTTGGGGTCTCCATGGCAATGAAGGGAGGTTAACTAAAAAACCAAGATAAATACTCTGTCCCCAGAAGGGACATCACACTTGCAACCTATGCAATATCAGGGATGAGATACAGGACATTCAGCCTCTCTGTCAGGTAACCTAAAGGGGAACCACCATCAGGTGAACAGCTCTTTAAACCGTCTCCGCTATAGGCCAAATGTTCAACATGACAGAGTTGGGAAAATAATTCGCAATAAGTAACAGTGGTTTTGGTTTTTTCTATGCCAGGTGTCCATGCTGATTATCATACTTATTTGCTTGTTAATCTTTATGAATAATTGTAGTTCATTCACTAACAGCTTGTTGTGAGTCTTCAAAATTAAATCTGACACATCACATGGTGAGATCCCGATTTGTGCAGGATCAGAATTAGGTTTTGTTGTGAATTACAGACTCTCTCTGAATATATGCTGTTGTGAATTACAGGCAACCCTGCTTAATGCTATTTCACTTAGCGCTATTTCACTATAACACTCATTTTAAATTGATACCTGATTTCACTTAGTGCTCAGTGAGTTTTGTTATAACACTTGCAGTCACCACCTTGGATCATTACAAACATTTGTGGTTGCCATCTTGAGTCGTCAAATATTTTCAGTTTTGCTTAACACTCAGTTTTTCAGGAACCAATTAAGAGCGCTAAGCAGGGGTTGCCTGTACCTGCAATTTTAACATTAAAGTAACTTCCCCAGTGTGGGAGACTGAAGTTAAATGAAACCAGGCAGAATAGTGGGATCATAGATTAAGTTGTTTCTGTCTTTAGAAGAAACCACAAAAAGCATAACTTGCCCTTTTTGTGATAATCTAGGCTTTTCATTAAATCTCTCTGTCCCCAGAAGGAATATCACACTTGCAACCTGTGCAATACCAAGAATGAGGGAAGGACATTCAGCTCCTCTGCCAGGTAACCTGTCAGGGAAATGGAAAAGACCTTTTGGGATGTTTAGGATCCTATCAATGCAGGACTGCTTCTGGCTCTAGGAACTCATGCAGACATTTCCATTGAGAATACTTGATAAACCTCCAAGCATCAGTAAATTAAGCCTACAACATTATGGTTGTGGCCTTAGAAATACATATAGTGTAAGTTCACTCAAGTGTTTCTAGTGCCTTGCCCTTACTGAATCTAGTTATTCAAATTCTTGGCAAAGACTGGGTGAGTCATGTAAGAGGATGTAGTAACTAGACAGCTGGATACCTTATATATGTAGGATTTCCTATGCTTAAAAAGATCTGTTTAGGTAAATGAGATGAGTGTACTTGCATTCACACAATTTTTTAACAAGTTCATTCAAATATCCAAAAGCGGACTACAAATGTGATGTTCAGAGCAACTGAGGTTGTTTACATCATGACTTGTGTTTGCCTTACTTCTTGAAGACAAAGCTGGGGGGTTGATTCTAGTTAAAAGGGGGCGACGGGGGGAAAGCAATGAAGAACAAATATTTACTCACATATAAGGTAAGGGTATTATTCCCCCCATCCAGCAAGGGGAGAAAGGTCCCTTGTTTTATATTTGCATATATTTGCATACAAAGTGGAGCAGGCAGTTGCTGCAGTTCTGACTGTCTCTGAGCTTGGGTCAGGGCCATAGTCAGACCCACAGCAGCCTACAGCCCTGTGGCAGGGCATCTTTGGTGCCTCTCACTTTAAGCAGACAGCAGGGCAGCCTGCAGGTGTGGGTTAGTCCTAATGAGGCAGTCACATGACTGCAGGAGAGCCCTGGGATAGGAGGACAGGGCTGAGCAACCTCTATTTTAGATCTAGGCACCTCAGAACTGAGGCAGCAGTCTGCTGCTGACAGCTATAAGAGCAATATTGGGCTGGGTTGCTGCTTGGAACACTTTTTGGAGATAAGGGCAGGAGCTATGGGTGTGGCAGAAGGGTCCTGGGTATGACTTGAAGCTGCACCCTGCTGGGGAAGGATGGCCTGGTGGGACTGCCTGTGGCAGGGCAGTTCCCCAGAAATGCTAGGCCATTTGCCTTCCCAGTGAAAGGTGGGTAGGGGTGCCTTGTAACCCAAACAGGTGGGTGTAGAATGGGGATGTGAAGGTGATCTGAAGGGCTGCACCAAAGGGTGTGTTGAATGGGGCTATAGAGGTGTCCTGAATGGCAGCACATGGGCCAGCCACCACAAGTATGCTGCTGCTTGCTACTGCTGGTGTTCACCAGACACATCCCTGCTGCCGAGGCCACCGCCGGCTTTTGCAGGTGTCCCCCTCCCGCCCCCCCCAACTCAAGAGGTGCCAGCCACCCATGAATGCAGGTTGCATTGTGACTCAAAAAAGAGCTGTTTTTAAGGATGTTCTTGAGTCGGAACAAGGAGACTTGCTAAGAGAAGCTGAATCTTTGCAAGGCGCTGGAGTTTCTTTGTTTGAAGCCTTGCCTTTTTCTATCCAGTTTCCTTCCTGCCTTCCTATATTTGGGGTTCTTGTTGAAAACACTGAGCTAGAGAAACCATTTTGGTCACAACAGTGTATCTGATACCAGCTTCTCCAAAACAAAAGACGTTGCTTAACTCTGCGGAAAACTCATGGCTTGGGGGTTCAGGTTCTGGAAAAGTGCTTGTTTTTCTTGTTGAATTCAACTCCTTCTCTAAGATGCACTGAATGCCAGAACAGCAGCAGATCTACAATCATCTAGGATTTAGGGGACCATGGTAATATAACTTATCTGTGTAAGCAATACCCTCAAGTGAATTATTTATTTGAGTTTCCTTACACGTTTTTATGCCACAGAATGAAAATTATTGCATCACATTTCTCCCCCCACACCTCTGGCTGAATTAAATGGGCACATCTGGAAGCAGTTTCTCCTGACGATGATTCAAGCCAGGGGGAGATAATAACGGACATTGAAAGTGTGAAGAAACAGCAGAAGCTTAAGTTACTTTTTCATATGGAAGTGTCATAAGAATTCTGGCCAGGTCCTGTCCTAAGATAAAAGGGCTGCAGTGCCAACTGGCTGCATCTTGTGAAAACAAATTGGGTGGTGACAACACCGAGTAAGGTGCTGCATGTGTGACATGCACTCTGTCACTGTGCAATACATATGTTCTTCTAAAATCTCAAGTCAGATTGTGGCAGTTTCTATGAAACACCAAAGATTCAGTATGTTTAAAATAAAGGGAGATGCTCTTGAAAGAACAGGGAGTGATGTCAGAGCATAATAATTACATGGGGTAGGTGAGCACTGATCTGACAAGGTAAGTTAATTAAAACCGAGACAAATATTGTAGGCACTGCATGGACCTGGCATATTAATAGCTGTGTCCTCTTATCAAAAGCACGTCTGACACTTGTTGGAGGAAGGTGGGTTTTTGTGTTTTGTTTGTTTTTTTTGTTGTTTTTTTTTGGGGGGGGGGAGGAGTTTGTAGTGATTGAACTGTACCTGAATATCCAGTGGGAACTTGACCAGCACCAGGTCACTGGAATGATCCCCCCCAAGGGTGTTTTGAAGGCAAGAGGTCTTTTTTTCTTTGCTACACACATACATTTCCAAACAACTGTGAAATACCATTTAAAGTATAAACTGAAATAATGGTGTAACAAACTTCCTTTCTGTTTTGCTAACCTAGATAATTGTGTGAATCCCTCCAAATCCTGCAAATCCAGTCAACTTGGAATCCCCTCCCACTCTCCTCCTATTCCTTAGCCTCATCTGTCACTTGAATCACTGCAGTTCAGAAATCAGTGAGGTTTGGTTGACATGAAAAGGTTGGAACCACCTCTGGCTCACTGCCGGATATATATCCGGTAGTGTACACTGCAGCAGCTGGCAACAGTCAAAGTAGAGATTAGCAAAGAGCAGAGCTGTATCTCTGACAGCATGGAGATAAGAAAGTG